GTGTTAGGATAGAAGATTAATCATCTGTTCTTCTTTCTCTCGTTCTTTCTTTTGTTCATTTATCGTCTTATATATTTATTCTAAGATTTCTCTTCTCTTGGATGTTAAGAAGAATGTTCCTTAACCTCATATATATATGTATATATATGGATGTTTTTTTTCTCAAGGGAGAGGTTTTTTTTGGATTTAAAAATAAAGGAAAAGAGAAGGGCGTGGCAACGAGAAATCTAACTTATGCCTAATAAAGATATCTTTTCATTTCACCATAGCTTAATCATTTCTCAAACTAAAATATCCTGTTGATCATGGTTTTTTGAATCCCCACCAGTATCTATGAAGTGTTGAGAATAGATACACGCATTGTTGTATGAAAAATAGTGCACTAAACACAATAGCTCTCGTTGTTTTCGTATAATAAGCAACTGAAAAGGACTGACAGTTCGTCTTTGATTAATATCATCTTATTTTGGAATCTATTAAGAAATTTCTGATTTTCAGGTATGAATTAAAATCGACCACTATGATCTAAACAAACTGTTCCAACATACAACAAGAAAATAGGTTATTAACAATCAATGTTACAACCATAGATAAAAATTTCAACCAACAACTTTTACTGAATAGTCATCAGCATTCTTTTCTGAGTCAACCATAAATTTTAATGAGTCAATCCACGTTGTATCTACTCCAATGATACATGACGAAGATAAATGAAAAGTTATTTCCTTAGTTTTCGATAATAAAAATGCAATAGTTCCTTCAAGAGACTCAAGATGTACTAAATGTAAGATGTCGTAGTTCAGGACAAAGATTAATCAATATTTTAATCGTTTTTAATGTATATTCATTTTTAATAGTAACACTTTTTATTTTATTTTGTTTTGATACTAACTGAAACGGTTCACTTTGTTCTAACGACATAACATTGCTCACAAATAATCGTTTAGATACGAATGTTAATTCATTAATATTAGGTATGAAAAGTAACATATTTACTATATCACCAAAAACCAAATTACTCGTGCCAATAGTCAGTTTCGTCAGCTGTTTCAAAGGAATGATGCTGTGAAAATCATCACTTGCAAACCAGTTCGAACGAAGAGAGCAGAACTCCGAAATAGTGAGTTCATTGGTATTTGGAAAATATTTTGAGCAATTGGTTATCGCTTTTTCATCATCAATAATTACATGATGAACTGAATACAAAATTGTTTTTTTTTTCTGATATGTATCTTTCTCTAAACTTGACTTGCCGGCTAATGAAAAGTATTTTCTTCTTAAAAATATCAAAATAAAATTAACAGTTATTAGTCAACTAATATCACTTAATTTTACCTATATGGCTGATTTGAATAAAATAGTTTATTCGGATATCGTTTGTTTGAAGATCCATACTCACATGTTAAAAACCATTGTCGTTGAGACCAAAATGAAGAATTAAATTCTTTAAATCTAGTATCATGCAAGTGATCATCACTAGTCTAATACAAATAATTCCAATATTGCAAGTCAAATATTCATAAATGTGGCGTATGTGATGAAAACAATTGTTCCCATCGTTTGGCATCTAAATAATCCAACTCTTGTTTTGTTGAAATATATAATACTTGAATTTGACGAAAATGGTTTCTTAGAAATTGTTCAAAATTGTCAAATATTACTTTATCTAATGTGAGAGAGACAAAAGTCAAATTATTTAAAACAAATGAACAGTCTTCTATTCTTTCATTAAGCGCTGAATATATACAGTTGTCTTTTAAACGACGAAGTTGAGGAACATATGATAAAATAGCACTAAGATGATTAAGATAACAATTGCCAATGATAATAAGATGTTCAATAGGACTTGATATATTAGTGCATGTAGATAATTTCAAATAACGAACATATTTTGAGCAGGATATTTTGCAATATTTTAATATTGGTAACTGGAATATTAAATCGTAGATATTTATTTCATTGAAATGATGATCAAAATGAATGGTCAATGAAGAAAGATTTGACAAAGAAAGTAAACGATTGAAAAAAATGTTTCAAATATTTTGGTTCAACTTCACGAAGAGTCAGCGTTTGAAGTTGAGAGCATTTTGAAATATCTTCTGTTGATGAAGAAAAGAAACCGATTGCGCAAGGATTTGATAAATGCAGTGACCGAATTCGGTGTTTATTTGGTTTTATAAAATCGGTATAATAACTGTGAAATGTTGATTTAGATATAGTTGATATATTGATTTTGATTGGAAAAGTTGAACGTATTAGATAATTTTGACATCGTATATTAAGATTGAAAAAACTTTCATAAATATGATAGGCATCAATATATTCAAAAACTTCATAAATAAGTGCATTTGAAAAATCTTCAAAATGAATCACCGAATTCCTTTGTACAATGAAAGATAAGATGAATAATAAATCTTTCTAAGCTTTACTAACCTGTCCATATTCATTTTTTTTACTAAACGATGCGAAAGGCATTTTAACTTTTTCTTCTCATTTTCATCTATTGCAGCTGTTCGTTGTCTTTTCTTTTTGTTCATACTAGTATTAATACTGTAAAACTTATAAAGATTGATGGACAAATCTTGCTGATTGCTTGTGCAATTACATATTATTCTGTCTGCCACTTTTAACAGAACAGAAAGCAAAAATTGTTTAAAACAAAATGAAACAAAAAGGACAATATATGCATTATGAGTCATAGACATTATGATAATGAGCATGATCTTTTTTGTTTAAGTTTTGTTTTCGATCATATGATCTTAAAATTAACAAAATAAATGTAAGACTTGATAACACAGTTTGAATGATATAATTGTACGATAAAATGCATTTATTTTAGGTTAAATTGAATTGAAATAAGATTAAAGAACTCTTTCACCAATCTCACCCTTTAGAATATAACCATGATTCGCAACTTGATATTGCTATTAAAAATTTAATGATCAAGATTCTAGATAGTTTTCTTAAATGAGGAAATGGAACATTAATGACAACGAACAAATATTCAATAGAAACTACATCATTTTTGAGGAATTATATAACGAAATAAAGATCATTGAGATTTTTTCATCTCAATGACGCTTTTTCTAACATCTATTTCCATCGAAATCCACAAGTTATAGACGAAAAAATTGGTAAGCAAAAGGTCAAATGTCATGCTTTATGTCATAGTGAATAAATATAGTTTTTAGCATCGATCCTTTCATTACTGACATTGAATATTCTAATAGGGTGTGGATGTACATGTTGAGGTGGATAGAGTGTGGTTATGGAACTGAATGTGGTCTTCGCTAGAGTCATTCAAAGATACACTCATACTCACATCACACAAGCTCTGTTATTTTGAGATTGTCTTCTAAAAGCAGGTCTTGCAAAAACGATTTTTAAAGAGAATTTTGAACGCTAGATTGGAAAGCAAACGAAAAAACATGTAAAAATTAAAGAGAACCATCGAGTGAATTTTAAGACAAATGTCTGAGTATTTATTATTAAAATAATAAGAAGTGTACGATGTTTACTAATGTCATGAGAGTAAATAGAGTTCCAATATTTCTCTTCTGTTATTTATGTCTTTATAAACTTTTCAATCAATCCTTGTACTTTGAAGATTTAAGATAAATAATATGTTTCTTCTTACCACCATCATACACATATTTAATAAAACGAAAGTCTGTGTGGGGCCAAATTAAAAATTCTTCTTCTTCCAGAAAATCTAAGAGCCATGAGATATCAGCACCACATTGACTATACACCTGGAAGGCATGGGGCACCTTCAGGTCAAGCATCAATAATGTGTCCCCAAATCCTTCAGCCTTTTCTCGATATCAACTCGTTGAAGTGAATGGTGTGAACTTGATTTCTTCTTGTAT